GCCCTGACGAGGAATCTAACTGGGACCTCCTGGTTAGCTCGCCGCTCAACCACGGAGCCACGCCGGCCGGCCGGGCCCTGATCCTTTTCTCTGGAAGCGTGGCTTCTGCAGAAAGAGAGGAGGAGGAAGCTAAATCAAGGCGGAGGGCGGGGGGCCAGCTCAGCCGAGTGCTTGTGGGAGCGGAGGAGGCATTCACGGTCACAGATGTTTACTGTGCGCCTGCCACATGCCAACACGGCAGGCAGCTCTGGCTTCCACGCAACCCCGCTGCCCAAGGCGCAGGCAGGAGGTAGAAAAGCAAACAAGTTCATAATCAGGGTGATCTCTATCCCCCCCTTTCCCCACCCCACCCCCAGCTGATGAGCGGGGTCCTTCTGCAGGGAGCTATGACAGACACTTCGTGACCCTGAGAGACAACCTTGAAGAAACCCCATAAACAGAGCACAACGGAGCATAAGCAAACGAGACTACGCCCTGACGATGAAGCAGCGTGTAGGAGGCCTGGGCAGGGGGTGGGAGGAATGTGTAAGGGGTCGTTGGCTGGCTGGGGGAAGGCCGGTGGGTGGGGGAGACGTTGGAACTCAGGACAGATGTCTGTGTCAGGTGACCCAAGCCAAAGGGTTCCACAGGCTTGGAAGACAGGAACGGAAGAAGACGCTCCCCACCCAGGGCTGAGCTTGGAGGAAGGACCTTGCAGACAGGTGGCGTACGTGCCAAGGCCCTGAGGCACACGGGGCAAGGCCTTGGGGTTGTATGCAAAGTGTGGCTAAAAGCCTTTTGGAAAGTTGTGAGTGAGGGAGAGATGTGACTTACATTGCGAAAGGAATGTTCTAGCTGCCCTAAGGTAATTGAGGGGGGTTGGGTGAGGCCCAATCGGGGAGTTATTAAGGGGATATTGCAATAGTCCACTTGGGGTATGGTGGTGGTTTGGACTAGGGTGGAGAGGTGGGGACGAGAAGAAGGGGGATGGATAGATCGATAGATAGATCTTTAATAGTTATATGGCTAATCGAAATGAGCCAAACGGAGAAAGCCGTGAGCTCACTTATGCGTGGGGTCTAATGAACAAAATGAACCGACCCACAAAACAAGACCGGAAGCCGGAGGCATGGGGCAGACCGCCATACCCCCATGTGGGGCTGGAGGACGAGAAGAGAGAA